GGGAAACTCACTAAGCTTCGTGCTTACAGTTTGTAGTTTTGGTTTCAGGTACCTCTTCAGCGAAGGGGAAGGAGCTGGCGCGGTAGCAGCACATCATACACACTCGCATTGATTTTCCGCACTTGAGATATTCTGGGATTGTACTCTGACATGATGCTATTTTATGACTTGGTTTTTCAGACATGATATACTGATTTACGGAATGATATATTTTATGTGGTTTTCTTATGAATGCTTTTATAATCAGTTAATTAAAATGAAAATTTTGGACTCGAAATTAGGAATGTTACATAAGGGTTTTCGTATGTAGACTGAGAGGGTACTCTTTATTGTTGTTCGGTTCCATATAGGACTAGTCCTTTTTGGGTGAGAGATGTGGTGTTTACTTGCTACTTACGAGGTGAGTCCTCTCACTATAATTGCATGTGTGATAGTATGTGCATGTTGACCAGTTGGGTCTTATCTATTGATTATTACTATATGTGAACTGAGTTGTTGATAACTCCTGGACTGCTGAAAGTCCATGGGACTGCTGATAGTCCCCAGGGTTGCTAATAACCCTGGTGGTGTGCTCTTAATCCACAGGGTGTATTGTTAGTCCATTGGGACTGCTCCCCAGGGTTGTTGATAACATATAGTTGATTGTTATGATGTGTTGTATGATATATTTTGGGGAACTCGCTAAGATTTGTGCTTATAGTTGTGGATTAAATATTTTGTAGGTACTTATCGTACTGCGAAGGCGTGACTGTACACACACATCAGCAACTTTATGATTCGAGATTCTGCATTGTCTTCGTTATAACTCTGATTTCTAAATAATGGTTTATGGACAAATGATTTATCCTAAATGTAAATTTATTAAAAATGGATTTTATATTATGTTAAAAACGAAAAATTTAGCATGGGATTTTTAGACGTTACAATGAGAGAAATTTTTTTTTTTTGGTTGAAGTCTCCATGGGTATTGATGAAAAAAGGAAGTACCCCTTTGGACGATTTCATGGACGATAATGTTGGCAACCTGTATGAGAAGGACATTGATTTGATATTGTTTGATTAATGTTATATTGTTTGTCGGGCGGTGATGGAGTTTTAGATGCTTCTATATAGAGACACTGACGACAGTTGGTTAGACTATGATGTAAGTTTTATATGTTTTCGTGTTATCATTATACAGTAAACATTTAGTTAGGTTATTTACTATTTTTTTATGCATGTGTTTATTGATAAGATTATGTTATGGGTATCCTTGCTTCTAAATTGAAGGCCAAATTATGCTCAGTGGACATTTATATCATCAACTTTCAACAATGATGTAAAGGATTGGCCTGACATGGCTGATTGAAGTCTTTACTCAACTTGGTCTGAATGCGATACGATATATGTACATTTTAGTTACATTACATAATTATTAGTCACTTATAATGAAATATACTCTAATAATATATGCTATTTCCAACCTATTGTGAAGTAATACATTCCAATAAATATAAAGGATGCCCATTGATTTTTGGGGGTTTTGGATTTTTGGTCGTTTAAGCTAACAATCTATGATATTTCCTGGTGTTGCAATTATTGTTCAGAAATCACGCCCGCGTTTACAAGCGATGCGAACATGTATCCTTAAAATTTTGGTGTCTATCCGGTATTGGGGTACCCAACCCACCGATGTAATCCACCTAAAGAGTTTCATACTTAAACTTGTGAAAGCCACAAACGTACCTTAATAGTCTTGTAAGAGATGGGACTTTGGGGTTTTGTATGTTGGTTCCTAGAGGTTGACCACTACTTAGTGAGGATTGATGGTTGCACTATTAACTAGGTTGATGCATATCGGAGGTGATTTTCATGTATAACATGGGATAAACATCAAAAATAGTGGTCCATTTAGTCGGGTTATAATTATTTAGTCATATGTGAATACTTTTTTTTACTATTCATTGTTTGGTTGATGCGGAAAATATGAAATTATTTGACCTATAATCATATAATTAGAGTTTATCAAACCACAATCTATTATTAAATAAGTCATAAACAAAACAAAGATGACCATTAAGAGTAAGGGCCATAAAAAACATAAAAACAGAAAATCATCTATCTTTTATTATGAAATGAAATTTCGAATAGTCGTATGGGAATTTCGCTTTTTTGTTATCAACCTATGCTTTCATTCGATCAATTGTCCCACAAATTTGCCAAAACTCATCATCTACAATCTCACGACCATGTTCGATTTTCTTTATCCAACGTTCAATGGCTTTGATTTCTTTCTTTGTGTCTACTATCCATTTTTTTATCTTCAATGACTCAGAGCTTACCATGTATTTGTTGCGTGAGTTTCTTAGATTTCACTTTGAGTTTTTCATACTCTACTTCTTTGTCTTCTATTATCTTCCTTGTAGATGTAGATTCAAATATGTCCCAAGGCTTAGCTCATTGTTCTTGGTAAACAATTAGCATTGAGATTGAATTTCGATCAATCGAAAGACATTTTAGAGAATGACTTAATGGCTTTTGATGTGAATTATGTTAGAATCTCAACTAATTTAAATAGATTTTAAATATAGAGGTAGGTGATAAATCGAATGATTTTTAATGGTATGTGAGAAATCATAAGTTATGTGAGTGTTGATGTGATAATAAAATGGTAGGTAGAAACTTGTTACAAAAAATACAACTTCGGAATTTGAACTTGATTTCAGAATACGATGTTACAAAGAGAGTAAACGATTATTTTACAAAAACAAAAAAAAGTGTTATTTTGTTAAAAGTTTTGTTTATAGGAATTAGTTAATTGATGTCCTTAGATTTTATATTTTCGAGAACCATTTACATTTCATGACACATCCTTGTTTACCTAAAAGATTTACTCTAATTTAGAATGCAAATTTAATTCCAAATTGTTTTATAGAAAAATAAAAGCATATGTATAACAATTTTGAAACGGTAAGTATAATTTCGTTTGGAAATTTTGTAAAGGAAATGAAATACAGATAATCAAACAAAATGTGGGTTTTTAGCAAAAGGTAAAACATTCATTATTATGTATAGTGGAGAAGTGTGTTGTTAATCATGGCAAGGTGGGAACTAAGTGGCTTTGATTAATAATAGAGTATAATATGATGACCTGTGATTTAATTAAAAAACTTGTTTAAAAAATATAAATTGATGAAACTATTATTAAACGGTGGATTAAATATTTTAAAAGTTAACAAGTAATGCTTTTCATTTCAACTAATAATATATAAAGGGTTAAATGCATATTTTACTATTAGGCAACGATCTTTTTTTTTTTGCTGGGATATCGAATAATGAAATTTAAATTATGATGTTTTTTACATAATGTGATAAAAATTAAAATATTTCACTATCCTGCCTACAAGAATCACATCGTTTAAATAAGTTAAAAGTTAACCTCAAGTAAATTTATAACGTCACCTGAATGTTGAATGTAAAAGAACTTTATAATTTTACGCAAAAACAATGTTACCCTCTTTTAAGACAAAATGAGTAAAAGTTGTCTTATTTGTTTAGATCAATGTCATATGATAACATGTTTTTATCACTTGAATCACTTTATGTTATCGAATCTTTTGTGCATAACAAGTCATTGCACTTGCAAAAAGAACACATCACACGCAAACTTTAACTTCTTGATCGATTTAACCGAAAATTTGAGTTGGCATGAGTGGCACGTGACGATTAGAGCATTTAGGTCATAAATGATTTTTCTTTCTTTCATTTTTCCAAGTTATCAAACTTTTTTTTTTCATACGTATTCTACCTAAAAGAAAACGTTTTACCCTGACCACTCATTAGATTGTTGGCAGATATAATGGATATATTTTTGTAACAATACTAGGGATGAGCATTTGGACCGGGGAACCGGGTGAAACCGGTACCAGAACCTGAACTAGTACCGGATAGAACCGATCGGGTCGGGACCGAAACGATATTCTTGTGGATTTTTGGAACCGGGAACCGGAACCAGTGGAACCGACAAAAACCGGTAGAACCGGCAAAAACTGGAACCGTATGTTGCTAATTCTCGAGGACCGATGCCAACATTGAAGACACGGCAAGAGGAACCGGGAACCGGGAGAACCGGCGGTCCAATTCGATTCTTAATTTCGGCCAACTTCGGTTCCCGGGCCGGTTCCAGCCGGGTCAGTTCATTTGCTCATCCCTAAACAAGACTGTCTGTGACAGTTTTCTTGATGGTGAATAATTTTGTTGTATAAAGTTTAAGTACAAATTTTGTTGTTGTTTTATAATTTATAAACGATTTAATCTGTCGTCATTAATTAAGAAATAGTCATATTGTTTGAGTAATTAAATGATTTGTCTAATTGCTCTCACAATGAACCAACACTAGTTAATAGAATTTGGATGTTCAATTGTTCATTAGAGAGTAGTTTCGTGTGAGTTTGTTTGAATAGGATTAGAGTATTTAGATGTTTATTAAAGTGTGCTAATTTTGGTTTTAATAAAACAACAATTTGTTAACATGCGATAGAGTTTTTACATTGTTTATTAGAGTATTTTAATGATAATTTGTTTGATTTTGAGTTGATTACTATTTATGTTTAGTACAGTATGCTTTGTGCCTTTATCCAATAATATACATGTTTATTAGAAGGATTGAAAATATATATTTTACATATCACAGGAAACAAATCTACTTGTTGCAATCCGAAGCTTTGTCCATTCATTGTATACCGTAACAAAGAAGTTTTTAAAATTTAAAAATTGTAGAGGTTATATATGCAGACTAAATGGCGTAAGAAAGATTGAATTGTTAAGCATAATTGATATTTTTGCAACAAAGAATAGACCAACACAAAGACATCAATTTAGGTGATGTTAGCAAGTTTTTGTTTGTATGTATACAAAATTTTTATATATAAAAATGATTTTTTATTTTGGTTTTATTACTCTACGTTGTATACGGGTTCTGTGCAAATATAGGGGCATCGATAAGTGTTTTTGTCCGGGGCATGAAAAACATATGGAGCCCTGTTTGTAATTTACCCTGATAAATTCCAATTTACTCTTTCAAACGTCAAGCCCAAACTTCAAGCCCAAAAGCAGCCTTCTTCTCTTTTGGTCATTCTGCAATCTCCATGATTCCTCGATGAGCATACTGCAGGACACGACTCTCGCTAACCGGACATAGGCGGATTTCTCATCGGCGCACTTCACACCCACCGCCGTCGTCTTCCTTCTTCCCTGAAACGGACGCCTCACTCACGACCACCCTTGCCACCGTCTGCCTTCTCATCGCCGCGGTCGCCACTGCTTACTTGCAGTGAAAGCACAAAAGGGGAAACAGAGCCGCCGGTGGTAAGGTTCGTCCTCCCACTGACCGACGCCTCCTCCTCCTTCCCCACATCCTCTGGTATCTCTCTCTCGATCTGCCCCTCGTGATTTCATCGAGTGGATATTAGTTTTTCAAATCCTTGGTTAATTGTTTATAATATGATGTTGTATGTTCGTTGATGGTCGTTTTGATCATATTTCAACTTGGTTTGGGGTTTATATTATTTGATTGCGATACTTTTTTTCATAATCAATGGTGTCTATCAATAGTTCTTAACTACTGTGCCTCTAACGAATTATGATTCTAAGCAACAAGAGATTTGGTGATTATGATTATGTAATTATCGAGGTCAAACTAATCTGAAGCAATCAACAAATGAATTAGTAGTAAAAGATATAAGAGCTGATTCGTGATGATCAGACTAGAAGGATAATTGCTAGATAGCCAACCCTAAAAAGGACATGAACCAGATCTTCATCCCCTTCATACTTCATTTCTATAATAGCTGATGCTTTTTTATATGTTTTACCCTTTTATGATCCATGTTATATTGTTATGTGGTTCTTAACTACATCTACAGTGTCTGTAACTACATATGTGACAATATGGACTATAACATCTAGAAAAATGCTTTGGTGTTAGGTGGCATCATTGCATTTAGTCACAAAAGAGTTAATACATGAAAGGAATTCATGAATCTTCTGATTCAATCTCTCTTCTGCTGCTTCATCCACATTATTTTTAAAAAATGATGCTGAGAAAGATTGCTGGAAGAATACAAAGTGGAACATCATCAAAAAGATTTAAACTTTTATGCAACAAACACTTGTACTCCACAAACAACAAACAAGTGAGCATTGAAGCAAACAATAATGGAGAAAAAAAGAGTGATGGATCTTTAACTCACCATGACTCGTATCGAGACCTTGAGAAGCTTGATTTCATGACTGCTGCCAAGATTCTTTTCACCACTCCACCTAAACAGAAGAAATTCGGGTATCATTTTTTCTACTTTTATACACTTAAGTTATAATAATATTTGATCTTACATGATTATTATTATCTTTCTGATATTCTCTCAGGGTTGATTTTCATCTGGTTCAACTCTTTTTCGTTTGCTTACCTTCACTTGGTACTTATACATATATCTTATCTCATTAACTTCAAAATGACATATTATTAATTAATTTATTTCCATCTAAATGCTCTTCTCTTTTTGTGTGTGTGTGTGTGTGTGTATTAATTAGCTGTCTATTTGGTTGCACAATATGCACGTCATGAAATGAAGAAAATGGATGCAGTAAGTCAACTCCCCTTTTTTCTTTCACTCTGTTTTATAATTAATATTATGAAAATGAATTGCAGGAATTGGAGAGGAGACAGATAGAAGAGGCGAAGAAGATGAAGGAGAAAGAAGGGGAAGTGTTAAAGTCTAATCCACAGTTAATGGAGGTGAAAGAGAGACTTGATAGCTTGGAAAAAACTGTTAAGGAAATTGTAATGGAATCAAAATTCCAACGAAGTGTAAAAGTTGAAGGTGAAATACCACAGAAGAAAATGGCGGATGAGAAAAAAGAAAGAAATGGTGGTGATAATATTAATATTAATCAGAAGGTGGCAAAAGGTGGAAGCAATGAGAAGTAGAGTAGAGGCCAATTTCTCTGATTTTGGGTTTTGATTGTTAATGTTAAGGAGTAAAGTTTTAGTTACTGTTGTAATTATTTATGCACCCTAGGAGAGGAGGGTTTTTATATTTTATCCTTATTTCAAGGAGTAACTTTTGTGAGTTGAGACATTCAGAGGGAATTTATTGGGGATTTCACGATTTCATTACATGATATGTGTTTGGGTGTTTGGTTTTGGGGAATTTGGGAGAATATGGATGTAATCACAAATTGTGTTTGTTTTCATCCATTATTTTTTATTTTGATGTTGAGTTTTGCTTGTTGGTCTATTTATGATCTCAATCATGTGAAATTTGTTAAATTCAAATTTTCGGAGTTGTTTATCGAATTTCAGCCTTGAAATTCCGAATTTGTTGTCCTAAATCCGGAATATATTTTATGTCGAAAAAATACTTTTGATTTGATTACTAATTTTTCTTATGGGTCAGGTTGGATTAAATTGGGCCGGACTTTAAATTTGGGCTGTTTTGCTCCATCGTATATTATTTTAACTTTGCAATTTGCAAACAATCTAAACATGTTCCCTCTTTCATCTTCAACCTACGAACTCACTTCTCTCAATTTCTTCAATTCGTGCTTTCTCATTCTGCTTCATCATCACCTTGTGGTAAGCTTTTCTTACCTTTCAACCTAATCTGTTCTATTTCCGTCAATTATGTTGAAATTTTCGTGACCCTAATCCCAAATTACAATAGCAAGAGAGACGATGAATACACTGATTTTTGTTTGCTTGATTAATGAAGTTGTTCATGCATATCATGTTTAGTTCGTAACTCTATTTTGTTACGATTTGGAAGTGGAATTATACCTCTTTTCGTTAAGAAAGAATTTTACGCAGTTTTATGTCGCAATTTAGAAATAACAATTCACAATTTTGAGTCTCGTTCTCAGTTCTACTCCATTGTATATTAGTGGACACATGTGAAATCTCTTATATGGATTTATGCTTTTATTAGGTAGTATCAAGTATCAACTATCAACCACCATGGGTGATGAGGAACCAAAGCCTCTGAATTACGTATCAGAGATTGTATTGAAGAAAAGGAAAAGCAATGAGGATTGGGCAAATAGAAGGAAAGAACAACTGGAGCAAAGGGTGAAGAAATCTAAAAGCGATAATTTCGTTATCAAGAAGCCCGAACAGTTTATCAGAGAATTCCGTGATAAAGTAAACATTTTTTTTCCAATTAAAATACTCATAATTGATTAATTTCACCTCACTGATCCTTTCTTTGCTCAAATTCTTCCCAATTTTAATTGAATCAACAGAATTTTTTTATGATTTTATCCAGGAGGCCGATCTTATCAAAATGAAATATCGTGGACAACAACCAATAAAAGCATCCAAATTTACCCAATCAAAGCTCCTTTTCATCATTCGCATACAAGGGTATGTATGTATGTCATATGTGACAAATGTCAACTTTTTATTCTTTATTTCATCTATTTTTTGCTTACATTCTATGGTTATCACTTATTATCAGTAAAAGTGATATGCATCCACAAACAAGGAAACTTTTATACTCTTTGAGATTAAGGAGAATGTTCACTGGTGTTTTTGTTAAGACAAATGATAGAATCTTGGAAATTCTACAGAAAGTTGAACCATATGTCACATACGGGTAAGTAGTAAAATAGAATTGTAATTCCATTTATTGTTTTTTGTTTTTTAATAAAATATTTGTTTTTTTTTTTTACTTGTTGAACGTATCCTAACCTTAAAAGTGTGAATGAGTTGATATACAAGAAGGGTTTGGCAAAAGTTAACAAGCAGATATTTCCGTTGACAGACAATAACATCATTGAACAAGTATGTTTTTTTTTTTTTTTTTTTTTGAATTTTTTAAAAATTTCAAAAATATAAATTAGTATATAATTTTTGTTTTAGGCAATGAGTGATCATGGAATTATATGCATAGAAGATATTGTAAATGAGATTGCAAATGTGGGCCCACATTTCAAGGAGGTTTGCAGTTTTTTGTGTCCTTTCAATTTGAATAAGCCGGAAAAGGCTTTGCAGGGTAAGAAAAAGGCGTTTAAGGATGGTGGTGATTCTGGAAACCGTGAGGATCAAATTAACGACTTGATTAGTAAAATGAATTAATTAATTATTATAGGTTTAAATTTAAGATAGATGAATCTTTTTGTTGTTAATCTTAAGTGAAATGTTGAATTGAAAAGTTTTCTTTGCAATTTTGAATAATGTTGGTATTTTTTCATTCAAGTTGTAGTGTTGATCAGAAAAAGAGGTTATTTGACAAGAGCATGTGTCCATTGTTGACACTCCTTAATTTGAAAAAAAAAAGTTTAGATGTTATATTATAATTTTTAGATGGACATATCTTTTGATGTTTGTTGACATATATAGGAAAAAATATGGGTGAAACATACAATATAACCAATGATATATCTTCTAATGAAATTAACATTAATTTTGCATGTTGTAGTATCCACTATGGAACATGTATTTTCATGAATATACCCCTCTTTAATTTTGTCACTTTTTTATTTGATTTTTATCGTACTATTTTATTAGATTTATGTAACTTTGTCCTATTATTATTATTCTTTTAAAAGATAAACCCCTCACATGAAACCGCACGCATGTCAACATCCTCCCTGTATCCTCTGATTGGAATTGACTGGATTTTTGAAACCCTGATGACGACAATATCAAATCTTGGCAGTTTACATGGGTTATCGCTCATGCTCATCAAGTGAGAGCTAATGGAGGTGTGAAGGTGTAAATATGTTGCGTTGAAGTAAGGGAGAAGGTCCCAAAATGTAATTTTTTGATTTTTCTCGAAGATTTGGGAATCAGTGAATCAACATACTCTTCCAGATCGTTGAATCACCATACATTGACGACAATATCAAATCTTGGCCGTTTACATGGGTTATCGTACTATTTTATCAGATCAGTGGTCGGAGGCTTCTTGTTTCATCTCAAAAAATCATATGAATCACTATGATGAAGACGAAAAGGTGAGTGGAGGAAGAGGGATCATCGACACAATCATCCAACCCTTACATTGATCCTTCCATATCTTGGAAATATATCCATGGTCATAACAAGTTAGTGGTTTTCCATTGGGTTACATGCAAGACAAGAGCATGATTAGGGACTAGTTTGTTAATTCATCATATGATTGTTGTATTAACTAGAAACAAAAATGTTTAAGGGGGGTCTAGGTATAGAAGTTCTTAATTTGAATTAGTAGTAATTATCTCTTTATTAAAGGGATAATTGTACTAGTTAAAAGATAATACCTTAGAAGCTCCAAAAACCTAGCCTAAACAATTTATCAATGTTTTAAAAACTGGTATTTTAGTTGAACCGGTATGGTGACCGGTTCCTGGTTCAATCAGTTTAACCGGTTCGACCGTCGGGTCAACTGGTTTCTATATTTTTTTTCTATATATAAATCACAAATTTGACGTTTACAAGTTCAAACATTAAAAATACACATAAAAATAAGTTGTAGATCAATCCAAATGCATTAAAATAACAAACAACCATAAGTTTTAGTGTTTTACATCAATCCATATACGTCAAAAAGAAAATAAAGTATAATACCGAAATAAAATATAGTTTTAGATGAAAACAAACACATCAAAAATGTTTATAATATTTACCATATGTTTTGTTTTAAAGAAAACTAAATAGATTTGAAAAAAAAAAATCACCAAAATTTATTGCACAAATGGTTCTTTTCCATGTGTTTTTATTCGGTTTAACCGGTTCAATCGGTTTATTTTAACCAGTTCCACCGGGTTTTTCTAAAAACCAGCCGGTTCAGTTTGGTTTAGAAATCGACGTAAAACCGGTGATAGTTGAACCGCTTCCTCCCTCAGTTCCCGGTTCCCGGACCAGCCAGTTCAAACTGGTTAGTAAAACATTGCAATTTAAGCAACTGGTCTTCTCTCTCTCTCTCTCTCTCTCTCTCTCTCTCTCTCTCTCTCTCTCTCTCTCTCTCTCTCTCTCTCTCTCTCTCATTTCAAGACCTCGTTGCATTGTCGGGTCAATTCTTGAAAATCCAAAAGTCAGATGGTCTTGATTTTTGGACAATGGTTTCTAACATTGTTTTAGATTGGATTATCGAGATTATCTCTTTAGGCTCTGGAAACCATGCTTCTTTTTGCTGGACACCAACATTTTTTGGGCTTGATTTTTGGCATCAAGAAAGAAGAGTTCTCTTTTGCTAGATCATGGTCTTTGGTGCCATCATAATAGAGAAGTGCTGATTTGGACCTTCAAATCATCCAAAGCAAGTGAGGAAATCGGTTTCTAGTTCATCAAGAATGTATGATTCGATTTATGTCTTCTAGGTTAGAATTTTGTAAACGATCTGGCTTGTTGAATGGAATCCAAGCTAGATATATAAAAATAAAAAAAGTTTGAGACTAAACCTATGAACTTTTGTAAACTATAGAAACCATTTATATAAACTTGTCTTCATATCTAGAAAACTGTAAATGTCGTATGTAGGTTTTTCCTTAGGTCCCTTATCTTTTATTTTGTTTCAATTGGTCATCAATTTTTTTTTGCTCTTATTACACCACTCGAGTATATTTCAGTGGATAAATTGGTATTTGATCCTACATGACTTCTTGACATTTACTATGACATAGTTTTTTATTTAGATGTGTTTGACATGACACATACTGATATTGTGCCCATGGTAAGATCCGATATGATAAAATTACCTAATTAAAATACACTTTAGTGATATATGTTAGTGAATGACATTTTACAAACATACAAAAAGTCAAAAACTCATATCAAAGATGGCAAGATGATATAAGTTTTTTTCCTTCTATTTATAAGGTCATCGGGTATGAGTCGTGTAAGAGTGATGTGGCAATCAACTCTACACGTGAACATCATTTCATCTTTATGTAGTCGTGAGGTGGTTTACAACCGACTACATGAGATAGAGAAAAAGACTTGCACTTTTGTCTTTTCTTTTCCACCAAGTGGTATTACAAAAAGTTGTCAATCCTCTTTGACACATTCATCTACCGGTCATACCATCAACCCTAAATAAAATATAAAAATATAATGTTAGAGGGAGTGTTAAAACTCTTGTCGCAATTAGCATGCATATATTGAAAAATACAGGAAGTGGTATCGGGTGATTTTAATAAGTTTTGTTTTGGAAGAAAAAAATAATAATAATAGCAATAGTCAATCAGATCCAACCTTCAAATTTGTGGTGTTGGTGAGCCATGAATTCGAGACTTTTAGTATCTGCGTCAAAACGCTGACGTGTAAATTTGAAGAATGGAAGTTAAAGTCAAACACTTTAGTTAGAAATTGCAGTTTGCCCTAAATTGTAGCGGAGATGGAAAATGGGGACGATTGGTTAGCCTACGACAAGCTCCAACACTTCCTTCTCTGCTTCTCCATCACCTTCATTTCCTCCTCCCTCGCATCCCGGACACCATACCCTCTCCTACGTCGCCGGAGCATTTCACTAGGTTGCATCCTATCACTCCTCGTTGGCGCCGCCAAAGAGGTCGCTGACGAGCTCGGTTTCTTCAAATCAGCCGGCGCCTCCGCCAAAGACGCCGTCGCCGACATCGTTGGCGTTATTGTTGCAGCTCTCGTTCTTTCTCTTTGTAACGTCTTTTGCTTCCGCCGCGATAGATCCGTGACACAAGGGCAAACACGAGGAACCGAAATGGTTTGATTCAGATATTGATAAGGCATCGTTACTCCCAATTTATCCATCCATCATTCAGGTTCTCACTTCGTTTTCATCCCTGAATGTGCATCGCTTTTTGGGGTGATTTAATTGGTAGATCTGTATATCTGTATTAATCAGAAAAAATGGAGGCAGAATATGATTATTGCAGTTGGGATATTCAACCTTTCCAATTGAGGAGAACTAACTTGATTTAATTCTCCCCATTGCAAAGTAGGGCGATGTAGTACACTAATATTGGTCTGAAACTTGCAATTAACTCGAGAGTGTTCATAGGACAAATGAATGGTGGTAACTTAGATGAGATTGTATGGTGTTACTGTTAAGGAGGGAGGAAGACGAATGTCTGATCGTATATGCTCTTAATTTGGCAACCGAAGGTTCTATTTCTGCTACCTTGGATTACAAATGGTTCTGTGTCTGTTAGTCTGAAGACTCAAGGTTCTGTGTTGTTTTGGATCCGATTGTATGATAAATGGCTTTGTGTAATACCAATACCAATACCAATACCAATACCAATACCAATGCCAATACCAATGCAATGATACGGTTATAAAATTAATTAAACTTTTATATTAAAAACTCAAAATTACTAATCATTTATTTTAAATAAATTATTAATTAAGAGATTTTTTTTAGTTATATAAAATTATAATCATTGATTTAAATAAATATGTAAAATTATATCATTTTATAATTTGTATTAATTTATTTTAATTTTTATTCTAATATTATTAATTTAATGTAATTAGAGGAAAATTTAAAATTTAAAATTTAAAATGGAAAATCAATAGGTTGACAAGTGGCATGCATTAATTAGAAGACATAATATGATGACATATGAAAAAAAAAATAATAAAATATGCATTAATTAGAAAAGCCTAATATGATGACACATGTCAAAAGAAAAATAAAACTATTTTTTTATTAGAATATATATATATATATATATATATATATATATATATATATATATATATATATATATATATATATATATGAAGAATGAAGAATATGAAGATGAAGAAGAAGATTATTAATGATGAAAAGAGTCTTAAAGAAATTTTATGTTATTATTACTGAATATAAGAACTGAATTTGGGCTTACAAAAATAGATTGAAGTTCAAGTGTTGTCTTTATGTTTGATTTTAAAAACAATTTAAGTTGATATGTCGATCTAGATTTTTGTCCTTCACCCACAGCAATCTTTGGAGTGCATGCAAATAAATTTTGACATATGCATTTTGTCTAACAAGAATTGGATATAAGTACTCAACAGCCTTTCTATTTTTCCGAAAACAATTTAATTTTCACTTCAAATTTAACCATAAACAAAGAACAATAACAAAAGAATTATCAGCCTAACTGAAAAGTTTATAAAATATGAGGGTTTTTTCTATTAAAAAAATTAACAGTTTTCCCAAACAAGAAAATATTAAAAAAAATGTAGAGGTCTTTTAGAAGAAAAAAAATTTAAAGAAAAAAAGAAGCTTTTTTTTTTTTTAATTTAAACATGAAACAAATCGAAAATACAAGGGGTTTTACAATATTAACACAAGAATAACATAACGTTCAACCTGGAAAATACTAATCTATTCTATAGAAATTGTTTTATTTTTATCGCATATATTTCCTCCTTTCCATATTTATTGCCGATTTTTTATTTTTGAAGTTTTTATTATCCAATTTTTACCTTAAAATTTAAATATTTTTATTTGTGTTATAAATTACTTGATAAACTTATAAAAATAAAAAGGTATTTAAAACACGATCCATTTATATATTTTGCATCAGGTATTACATATCCAAAATAAAAATATTTAAGGTTGAAATTGAAAAATAAAGACTTTAAAAATCAAAATCAGATATTAAATATGAGACGGAGAGAATAATAAACAACACAACAGCCACAACTGCAATCCACTTTTTTGCGATAATTATTGAGCACTAATAGATGGCATATATATATATATATATATATATATATATATATATATATATATATATATATATTGAAACGGCAATATATTTAGATATAAATTAAAATCCAGCGCGAAATTGTACAAAATGAGACAAGAATAGAAATAGTTATAAGGTCTAAGATAGACTACAGAATTGTAAGGCACCAGTCCAAGGCACCAGACCAAATGGGAAACACATAACTTTGTACTTCAATCCATTTCAAACTTCATTCCACATCTATGCCCATGAGGAGTAGTATATTGATTGATTGATAGAGCGATCCACCAAGAGACAATGTGGTGCCACTAAGCTTCTAAGATATTCTGGGGGTAAAATCGTCCAAAAACTTGCAACGGGCAAGTAACTCCATTTTTTGATTTTCCTCCATTTCAGATTTTTCTGGACCATCAGCTTCATCCAAATCGCAGTCAAAATGAATTGTAGAGCTCTCCAAACCAGCCATTTTTAGGACAAGGGTAGATTCGTCCATAATACCCTCACCCACGGGAACTTCTGTTTTTTTTTTTCATTTTACCAGCCCTATTGCCTTTTAGCTGTCACACCCCCAAACCAGGACGGCGGAAACGTTCGGGGGCGGAAGACGTCATGTCAAGTATCACAACACATGCATTATAGTAATCAAAGTACAAACAACCATTCATTGCATTAATAAGTATAAGTTTTACATGAGTGTTTAAACATTACATATTCAAACATCAAAGTAGATATGGTAAAAGACAAAAGACGCAGCACGGTACTGAGCTATCTTCTCAAAAGCTTCGGGAGTGTACCGGTCTACTGGATTCCTGAGAATACAAGTTATTTTGAAAGAGTAGATCAGCATTTAAGCTGGTGAGTTCATAAGTATTTTAGTTATATAAAGTATACTCTAAGTTCTTGGAAAAGTTCGTCGGTTCCTCCAGAAAATCCTATATTTTCTGATGTGATAAAATGATAACCACAATAGTTCCCTCTACAATTACTTAGTTTATAGTAGTTATATATAACCTAATATCGAACGGACAAGTTAAATGTGTGAATCTGTCATAAGCTCACAACCAAATAAGGAACAGGAAGTAAGGCGGAAGTCACACATTCCACTGCCTATTGGATATTACTTATATATAACTATGATGTATAAACTAAGGAATTATAGAATTAACCATTAAAGGTCCTTTATGTTATACTAGTTTTGAGAAAGTGCCTGATTACGTTCCAGAAAATCCTATATTTTCTGCTTTACAACAGATAAGTAGTTTTAATCTCATAAAACCGTTCTATTTAAGTATTATTGTACTTATAATAAAGTTTAACATAATTTTAACTATCCATAAAATTATAAGAAGAATGTTTTCCTTTTTGTTGGTGAAAAGTAGTTTTAAATCCTCATAAAACCGTTCCGTTTTGTTTATGGAAAGTGATTAATACAGTAGTATTTCTTAAAAATAAACTACTGAAGAATAACTACCCTAATATTAACCTGGTTAATCATGGTTTAAAATGTGATAAAGTTGTAACCATGCTGGACTAGAATGAACACGACGACCTATTGGCGTCGAAACTGAATATGTGACATTTGTCACCCCATGACTGGTCTGTCGGACTGTAGCTAACAATCGGGATGTGGAATTGTCAGTCTCGTATAGATCTATACACACAATGCCCGCTCTCCCTCCAGGAGACTCTGGTTACAAGAATGTAACATAGCAAGCATATTGATATGTCTTGAACACGTACCATCACATTTTAGTTTGAGTAAAGATCGAATTATACCCTTTTCTTGACAAAGTAGTTTAGACCTCGTATACTTATCTAGAAAATAGATTTCTCGTTTGTTTCATAAATTATACCTATTATAATTTATACGTTCTATCTGATTAGCATGATCTCTCCTAAAAGTAACCATTTGCTCAGCATGATACAAAGGTAATGATAACGACTAAAGTAACATTTTATATTCTCATATGTATAATATATATAATTAAGAAAGAAACGACTTTCGGACAAATAACCTCACCTTAAGCCCACATCCAAACAAGGAAAAGGAAATAAGGCAACTCATTAGTCCTAAGCCCTTTAAGTCTTATTTATATACTTGTACATATATGAACATGATTTTAACAAATACATTTTAAAGAGTTAATCGGTATTCTAAAAGAGTTTATGTGATCTTAATAAGAATTTACATGACTTTAAGTCATTATGGAAGTATTGGGAAATCTTTTATTGTAAAAATAATAATTCAAAGCATAAGGAAATCTTTATGTGATTGATATCACAAGTATGTACTAACACAATTAGATTGTGTTCAACTTGTACCCCCCCCCCCCCTAAAAAGCATTTAAAAATCATTTAAAAGGTAGATTATAGGGGTATGAACTCACCTTATGTTGGTGATTCGATTGAAGATATGGTATAGGATGATAAGTTTCACGAGTGAAGTCCCGAGCACAAACGGATCCTATTTAGCATACAATATATATATATATATATATATATATATATATATATATATATATATATATATATATATAGGTATACGATTAGTGTTTATAACAACTAAAGTGTATAGGAAACAGCCTTAGGAAGTAGGGAACACTTACAATGAAGTGTTAGAACTAAAAATGAGAGGCTGAATGATGATCACGGCCAAGAGTGAAGGGTTCACGGCCTTGGGATGGTTCACGGCCCAAGAACATATGAGGGGTTCACAGCCAAGTTTGAAGGGTTCACGGCCGTGAACTCTTGAAGATCATGAAGATCATGAAAAGAAGTCTTGAATCAAGGATGGAATAAGAGGGTTTCACAAGAACAACAAGCAAAGGGAAGTGTTTCTTACACTTTTGAGGAGAAAGGAGGGTTCATGGTTGATGATACTTGGGAGAGAATGGGGTGATTCACGGCTGGAAGATGTGAAAATGAGGAGAAAAATGGCAACACCCCTATATATATGCGAGGGTTCACGGTCCGAAGGGTTCACGGTCGTGAACCTCGTTTGCGGTCCGAAGGCGGCTGTGGCCGAGAAACGTTCACGGTCCGAGGGTTTGCGGCCCTCGTTCACGGCCGAAGTCCACTGTTCTCGGTTGTGAGGTTGTTGTCTGAAGGGAAAGAAAGAATGGTCTTCGGACTTCAAGCTATCACCTCTTAAACATATAACACCTTGAATACAAGGTGTACATATTTATAAAACATTAATCTAATCCATTTAAGATAGACTAAGATTTAAGTTGATTTTAGTTGACCCAAGTTTGACTTTGATTGACTAGGGTGGACTTTTCAAGAAGAAAATAACGGGTTGTCACATTAGCCAGCATAAATTTGAACTTATATTTGTAATAAAAGTACCATCAGTGACATCTTTGAGTGGCTTCAATCAGCGACATCTATGATATCTTTAAGCAACTTCAATCTCCTATATTCTTCATCACCTGTAAAGTAAAGATGTAACACCAGAAAAAAGAAAAACGCACACCAAGAGTTTTTTATGACATCCCCCCCCCCACCCCACAACCCGATTTCCACACGAAAGGAAACACCACGAAATGAACTTAATTACAGCTAATTCCTAACATATGTCTACCCTATGAAAGAGACTCACACCAAACGCACGCCGGCTGTAATTAGGCACATCACCAAGACCCCAAATTCACCCATAAAGAAACCCATGACCCCACCCCCAAACGCACGTCGGCGGTAATTAATTTTTATTACATTTTATTTTAATTTTTTTTCTCATCTTTTGCATTCAGCTATCGGATCACAACACCATTCCACCCACCTAAATTTTTTATGCTTGCTTCTAGAGTTGATCCACAAATGGCTCAGTACTTGTACTTCATTTGCTAGAATTTTATATGATTTGATTGTGTTCGAGTGGATTCTGTCATTTCTGAATTTCCAGATCACCCAAATGTATATCAACACAACTGCTTCCTGAATTTTGATCGAGGTTATCACTGTCTGGTGCTAAATTCCTACACTGAATCATTTCATTCAATGAACCAAAAGATAATGGAAACATATACCACTATTTCTGCACACCACGCCAAACTTCTTGTGAGATTGAGCATTCAGTTAATAGATGTGATTCTGATTCCGCAACAATGTTACATAATGGGCAGGTGGTCAAAGATCTAATACCAATGTTGTTTAGATTCACTCTGGCAGGTAGCCTTCTATGACAAACTCGCCATGCTAGGATATTCACTTTTCCGGGGACTAGGTTATTCCACTGCCAAGCACCAGCCGGTGTTTTTGGCAATAGTGATGTGATTCTGATTCCGCAGCAATGTTACATAATGGGCAGGTGGTCAAAGATCTGATACAAATGTTGTTTAGATTCACTCTGGCAGGTAGCCTTCTATGACAAACTCGTCATGCTAGGATATTCACTTTTCCGGGGACTAGGTTATTCCACTGCCAAGCACCAGCCGGTGTTTTTGGCAATAGTGTTTCGTCAATGAATCTCCTAAGAAAGGCCACAGTATACATCTATACATCCCCGAGGGTTCAAGTCTCCAGGTCATGTTGTTGTCCATGATTTTTTTTCAAATGAGCCTTTTTTCTATAAGAATTAGCAAAGTTAATAAAAACACATAAAGAGGAGCAATTCTTTAAAGAAGACAAAAAGTTTATGTAAATTATCTGATAACATGATCGATCTTCTATATTCTTTTTTTCGAGGCATTTTAACAAGCTTCTATATTCTTTTTATTAGACATTTTAACAAACATATTGAATGCATAAATCAATTGACAAACTTAATGCTTTTAATATATAAATGCATATCACCCGATCGTGTATGTGTAGACAGAAAATAAATTATCAGCTTAAGGATTTTCCGGTTGTCTTGATTATTAGTTCTGAAATTTATACAAAACTGGTGGGAGTTATATTAAGTTTGTCATATCTTGCTTTCAATTCTCTTGATTACTCGTTCTGAAATTCCTATCAACATAACACAACGTCACACTTAGCTTTTTGCCACACTCCACGTCTTTTTTGCAGGGGAATAGGTTGCCATGACACATTTTTTAAACAACTTAATTTAAATAAAAATCAAAAAATTTCATTAATTGAAGATAGAAATACATTAAAAAAACACCTATTAAAAACATAATTATAACAATGAACTTACTAATAAAAAAAGAAAAGTAAAACTTACAAATGTTCGGCTTTCACTATCAAAGCCACGACACATCCTTCTCCGGTGTGAGTCACGTCTTAAAATAGAAGTTTCATATTATGGGCTTTTACTGTTGAGCTCTATTCCTTGGCAAATACCAAGTAATTTTCAAGATTTTTATTTATCCCGGGCATCTCCTTCAAACCTTTAATATTGTCAGAATTTCGCAGATATTTTTACCTTTTATTTTCGCTTTCTCTTCCCATTGGCATAATCATGATTAGGTTGTCATCAATGTTGAGGTCCAACACGATATAACTATCTAACGATGTGTAAGAAATATCAGATGTTTTGTTTCTTTTCAAACCACTCATATAGTTGTATGTGTGGACTTCACACGCCATTTTAATGTTCCAACTCTTGGCAAATTTAAAACCTTTCCTAGTGTCCGCGACGGATATCAAGTGCCTTACCCAAAATGGTTACATCGTTTTCACCTTACCACTACGCCAATCTCACTTCAAGTTGTTAACAAAGCTTTTAAATTCCATAACAACTTTGTCCATATTCCTCCAATTAATGTAGAGTTGATCTTTTTTTTTTTTTTTTTTCATTTCAACAAGGAAGCGTTTTGTTACTTTTCGACAAAAAGTTGGCCCATTTTAGTTGTTGCTGACCTTCCTGTCCTCGACACATGCCAAGGCAAACGCCGTCTCTTTCGTCAAGGTCTAAGATGGCCCTTTTCCCCTTTTCAGGCGTCAGGTCGGGTTTGGGATTGGAATTGGAATTGGATTGGATAGTTGGATATGGCGCATAATATCCTCTCATACCACCATAATGGTACATCGGAGATAAATAATGTGGTCGATCCATTTGTGGTCTATAAAATGGTGAATGATTTGGGTTGTTTTCGGTAAATATATGGTTTTAAGAGGAACGGAATTGAGAATTGTAAAAAATAGTGTTGGTCGGGTTTATTTATATCGGATGAAAATAGGTTTTAATTTGCTCCTTAATTCCAATGTCCACAACGGGCTCGAACCCTCGACCTCAAAAAGAGAGGGCGAACACTTAATACTGTTGAAATAGAAGCCCTTTTAGAAGAAAAATAGGTAAAAATTTGAACTTTTAAAGGTAAAAACGGACAGAAAAAATAATGGAGGAGAAGGGTAGAGGGTGGATGTGGCAAAAATCTGCCGAGTAGGATGCCTTAACCTCGACAAGTCCAAGAATACCTTTTTATTGTTATAAGAAAGAAAAGAAGTTTCTAATAAGAAACATAAATAAAATTCAACAACAAACGGAAGAATACCTTTTTATTGGAGATTCTAATCCTCCTTGTTTTACCTGCAAAAAAAAAAAAAAAAAAAAAAAAAAAAAAAAAAAAAAGCAAGGAAATAAAAGCAATTATCAAACCTAAATAAAACCTAGAAGAAACCAAACATCAAGAAATAAAAAATTAACCTTTCTTAACCTCAAGAAGTGTACAAACTGTATTGTGCCATGAATTACAACACAAATTGTAACTTAACATACAACTACCATATTTTCTTTCTTTTTTTTATTTATTTATTTTATTTTAATTTTTAAACAAATTCCATAGCGCTGTCAATTCTCAACACCTAAACCATATAAAACACCAGCATATTTCTCCAAAGAACCACTAAAGAAGTTCTCTTTAAGCTTCCTGAAAGTAGAAGAAGTAAGCAAACTATCTGAACCTGCTTGATGACAAATCCCAATTCTTTCAACCTCCAATAGTTCAGCAAGCTTGTTCAAACCTCCATGAAGACTGTTACAGAACTTCATCAAATGCTTGATGTCGTATATGGTTGGAAAATACATATTAATCAAATTGAAGAACCCTGATTGTGTATCGGGAAGATTCTTGCATGTCAACACCTTCAACAAATAACCAAAATCATAACCAGAGTGGAAGGTTACCCAATACACACTATCATTCAAAACAATGCCTGACGACATCAACAGTTCCCCGAATCTCCGTGCATTGATTCCCGTTTCGTTGTTTTTCTTGAAATCTATGCCGCTCTCTCTCAAAAGCTCAACGGAATCGTTTGCAAAAACATCTTCATTCACATTGAATTCCCGGAAATTGAATTGCCATATACACTGTTTATCCGTTCCGCAGGTTGGTAAATTACCTTCTTCGTCGGAGAACGTTAGCCCTAGTTGAATCAATTTCAGCATGTCGACGTTGTCTTTTAATGTCTGGTAATGATAATCGTTGCTGTTTTTGAAATTACCAACCGGACGAAGAACGATTCCAGGAAACTCGGTGTCCATTGCTATGTAAGGAAAATCATCAACGATATTACGAATCAATGCGAATTCTTCTTCCAGATTGTCATTCCACACCTCTCGAATCTGAATCGAATCGCTTTTTGCTAAAAGCGACATCTCTCGACACAATTATCGAATTATTTCTCAAGGTCGATTGTAGGAATACAACCTACGTTACGAAAAAAGGCCTTCGAAATCGATCCAGATCTAGAACATATTACACAACAACAAAGATCATCATCCGCTCGTAATTCAAAAGCAAAAAAAGGAGATATGGAGATGAGATAGTTACCGGAAAATGGTTGCGAAACGGAGATGTAATGGATTGATATTGAAATAATATCAAGCGGCAAGGCAATTAGGTATGAACGGAGATTACTTAGGGTTTGTTATTGAACGGCGGTGAGAGGAGCGTTAGCCTTTTCTCTGTCCTCACCTCCTTCACTACGATCTACAGAAAGAGAGAAGGAGAAAAGACAGCACCATTAGAGACTGAAAATGGAGAAATTTTAAAGGGGGGAAGGGGGAAGAGAGAGAGAGAGAGAGAGAGAGAAAAGGGAAGGAGATAGTGAGTACCAGTTGTAAATTGATATGGACTTGCAGAAATTTTGTGGCCATGCTAAAAATAAACATACGCCCACCGCCTTTATCTTTGAATTATTTATTTTATATTGCAGATATTTAGGGCCTAATTTCGGAACATGTAACAAATTCAATGTCCCTTCAAATCTCTCTTTTTTTTTTTTTTTATTTATTTATTTATTTATTTATTACGAATAGAATAAATCTATCATTTTCTATGAAATCAAAACAAATCGTCGACCTGTGTGTCAATTGTTATGTACTATGATTAGTTTCGTAAGATATATTTTAAAAAAGAAATTTTTGATAAAGTCGTTATATTTTAGGTTAGTTTATATATTTTTAAAAAGAAATTTTCGATAAAATTGTAATAATGTAGGTTAGTTTACGGTGTAATTTTAAAAGTGTAATTTTAAAAGTAAATTTTGCACATAATAATAGCTAAAACTTTGAAATAATTTTTTTTGGTTGGTTTTTCATAGATTTAATCAATATTCCGTTTTTTTTTTTTCGGTTAACTCTGTCAAAATATTAGGTTAGTTTTAATTTATATTAGTTTACAGTGTAATCTTAAAACTTTGAAATTTTCGATAAAGTCGTTATATTTTATTATATTTTCGCTTAGTTTAAAGTGTAATCTTAAAATTAAATTGTGTTTATAAAAAAAACAAAATAACAGCAAAAACTTTGAAATAATATTTTTGGTTGGTTTTTCACAAAGTTAGTCGGTATTGTGTCTTTTTTCGTTAACTCGATCAAAATATTAGGATTTTTTTTGAAGATTGTGTTATTTTTAACCAATAATCAAAATATTTTGATTTTTTTTTAATATTACCCTTGAACTAATGTATATTTTTATTAACAAATCATTTATAAACATAACATATTTTTTTATTATAAACAAAAGAAATACATTCGTTTCTAATTTCTAAAAATGAAAATGTGGACTAAGTGCTCTCCCTCTTATTGTTTACTTCAACTTCAAACTATCGTTGTAGGTGTCACGGTGGGATGCATTATATGGGTGTTTCTTTGATGTTGGTGTTTCTCTTGTGTTATTTAACTTAACTGTCACCTAACCTCTAAACTTTAACTGTCATTCAAGGTTGACTTTTCACTCTCGATGGATGTGTCTTATCTGATCGTTATTATGGAGATTGGATGGCAGTTGGGTTAAAGAACATAAGAGGAATACCAATATCAGAATAACACCCACATAGTGAATCTCACCATGACATCCACAACGAAACATAAGAGGAATGTAGAGGGTTTGAAGTTGTCGGCAAGCAATATGGAGGAAGGTAGTTAATCTACATTTCCATTCTTAGAAATTAGCAACAACTGTATTTCTTTTGTTTATAATAAAAAATGTGTTATGTTTATAAATGATTTGTTATTAACAATAAACATTAGTTGTAACACCTGGTTCCTGATGCGCATTAATTATTAAATCTCTCATTTTTACAAGGCAACTCGACGAGTTGGTAGCCCAAACTCGTCGAGTAGAGACTATAAGGGACGCGGGTTTTAAGCAATCTACTCGACGAGTTGGGACCCTCAACTCGGCGAGTAGGTCTGCCAGAATGAAACCCTAATTTTGGGGTTTTGCACCCTATTTAAGCATCTTAATCCCCACCTTATGGCCTCATTTCCAGCCTCCAAGTTCTAAACCCTAATCTACGAAACCCTAGAGCATTTTGTGAGTGTGTGAGCCATTCTTGAGTAACTTTTGTGTGTTCTTGAAGCTTGAAGAAGAACAAGGAGCTAGAAGGTTCAAGGAGAAGATAGTAGATCCAGAGACTTCCTTCCATCCTTTTCATTTTCTGGTAATCAAGTTTCTAGCTTGGCTATTAGTTCATTAGATCTTCTTACTTCCATTTTATGAGGGTTTTGGTTCAAGAATCTTAATCTTTGGGATTTGGACGTCCCAAGTGGCTTACCTTTCAGATCTGGGATCTAGAAGGGGTTTCATGGCATCAAGGTGCAAACTTTATGACCATGGAAGCCCCATGCAAGCTTAAAGACGTTATTATGGCCTTTTAATCCCCAAAAGGCCATGCATTGAAGTAAAGTCTGAGACTTTACGTGTTCATTTGGTGTCTAGGACCTAGATCTCGGTTTTCATGCTTTGGGTTGGAGTAATAAGGCTTTTGGACAAAGATCTATGTCTTAAGGAACTAGGGTTTTAGCTAAACCCACTAAATAGGATTATTAGCGGGTAAAGTTGGAAACTTTACCCTTAAAAATGGCATTTCCAGTGTGTAAATGAAGTATGGACTTTGGATCTGGAGAGTAGAGGCTTAATTTGTTAAGCTGGCCGTAACAGACAGAGGAACTCGACGAGTTAGGTCGTGTTGTCTCGTTTCAGCTCAAGGTAGAACTCAACGAGTCTGTGAAGGGACTCGACGAGTTGATTCTCCAAATCGCGACTATAAGCTGCCAGGGAACTCGGCGAGTCAGGACGGTGACTCGGCGAGTTGGATCGCGATTTTAGGACCTTTGAGTTATAGAACTCGGCGAGTTGGGTCAACTTAGAATGTTGACTTTGACTAGAATGTTGAGTTTGAACAAGGTTAAAATGGTCATTTTACCCTTAGAAGGATTATCAGTTTCTGACTAAGTAATAATGTGAATGATATCCGGGGAAGTCGTTGGAGCAGCAGTTGGAGATTCATCACACGAGATTTCATCAGTCAGCTTGAGAGGTGAGTTGCCTTCATTAGGAACGGGTCTAAGGCACCAATGTCAGCCTGTGTAGAGTAGCTAAGTGTGGGCAGGGCCCGTATCTTAGAACCATTATGTTAGTAGCTAAGTGTCGACTGGACCCGTACCTTAGACTTGTTTATGATTAGTGGCTAAGTGTGGGCAGGGCATGTATCTTAGTATTACATGAGTATGTTTATGAACTGGTAGATTATGTTATACTTGTTTTCTGCGTGATACTGGTATGTATGTTTAGTTAGCGGAGTGTGGGCGGGGGCCCGTATCTCACGGATACCGGAGCGTGGGCGAGGTCTGTACCTCCTAGCCAGTTGAGTGTGGGCGAGGCCCGTATCTCTTATTTAGCAGAGTGTGGGTGAGGCTCGTATCTCTAAGATAGCTGAGTGTGGGCGAGGCCCGTATCTCATAGTTAGTCGAGTGTGGGGCAGGGGACCGTATCTCCTTGAGTGTGGGCGAGGCCCGTAGCTCCTAGCTGCATGTTATATGTTATGTGTATGGTATGGGGTAGTTTGGGGTGACTCACTAAGCTTCGTGCTTACAGTTTTCAATTTTGATTTCAGGTACTTCCGGTAGCAAAAGGAAGAGCTCGGTATGATTGCAGTGCACACACCATTATTCAGTCTGGGATATTTAGACTCTGATATTTTGAGAGATGATTTTGATACAATACTTGTTATGATGATTTGAGATACATAACCTTTGATCTTTATTGTGATAATGATGAATTATGATTTTCTTAAATGATTTTTAAAGCGAAATATTTGGACCGTATCTTTGGGATGTTTCAAGTTGGTATCAGATCCTTGGTTTGAGGGATTCGGGCATGCTCTCGGGTGTGTCTGAACTCAAACTATGGAATTGGTATGAAAATTTTCAAAAGAAAAATCATTTTTTTATCAAAAGAACTTTAAAAAGAGAAAAAGAACTTTGAAAAGAGTAAAGGGTGTGGTGCATGCAATCAGCCGAGCTCAAGTAAGTACTCCCAAATTACCCATACAAGTTTATGTTATGATATGATTATGAGAACAACATGCTAGATTAGGGCTAAGGATCTAGGAATGATGCCTTGTGTGCCTGTTATATGCGTATAAGAACTGCATGCAAGTTTTGGGCTAAGGATCTAGGAAGGATGCCTTATATGCCTGCTGTATGAGCTTATTGAACTGTATGCTAGAACTGATTAGTCAGTAATATGATGGCCTGAATAGGATATGCATGATTATGGTTACTCAATGCTCGAATGCGGCTTGCTTTGTGCTTTTAGGAGTCCTATTTTATTTAACTATCTAGTAAACGAATATGTTAAGTTACATATTAAGAGGACTAAATAATTTCAGAAGGTTATTCTAGCTCTATTTCGCAGCTCTTGTCTGATTCCAACCGTTGTAGGGTAGAACCTCTCATTCGAAGAATTATCTAGTCTTAGTGATATGTAATGATATTCGCGAGTTAGTTAGGGGGAGGTGACATGAGCTTCTTATGCAGCTGATGGCGGAGAATGGGTTGGTGATTACCCTAGGGCAAGCCTACGATGAGAGTAGCGCATGAAGCAGTAGTAGTAGAAGGGACTTAGTGAAGTCAAGGCAGTTCTTGAGGAAAGTATGGGTAGATGTGGAAGGTAGTATGGGCCAGTAATACTAAAAGCAGATGATCCGTACTCGAATCAAGGAAGGCTGATATGAATCCAGGGAACTTGTAGTATATGTGATCCCTCGAGATATGATTAGTATTTTGGTGTTTGTTATGATGTGTTTACAGAATGGTGGTATTACGCACTAGACCAGTTCGCAGTTCAGGCGCCGGTGAGGGATCAG